CCCTTAAGTTCCCTGTGCTGCAGCCGCCCAACAGGCTATCAATCGGCAGTTCAGCTGTCCTTCCCCCCCACCTGCCATGTACTGCCTTCCTCGCCCTCTGCCTTGGAGCTGCTCCCAGAGACTCCTGCTTGCTGTGCAGGGAGGCGGGGCGGGGCTAATGTCAGGGTGTCCCCCTCCCCCCCCGCCTCCTGCGCCCTGCTTACCCCTTCTCCATATAGAGCAGGGAGGGGACAGGGACAGAGAGAGCTTGGGGCAGTAGCTGCTGTCTCAACTTACTGATCCACTTAAAAAGACAATGCACTTAAGAGTGGGTCAGCTTACTTAAAGGGGCAGTGTGCATCTCTCTCTCTCTCCCCCACACACAAGGTGTGTGTCTGTCTCTGTCTGCTGTGCTGTCTCCCCTCCCTCCCGTTCCTGCTGCCTTGATGAGAGGCTACTGTTAACAACAATGTGCTAACCCTTGAGGGCTCAGCCGAGTGCTATCTCATCATTTAGTAGTAAGGCATTCCCTGGGAAATATCCCTCCCTCTTCCACCCTCTAACTTCACCACCTCAACCAAGCTTCACAATCATCATAACGGTGAACAGTATTAAATTGTTTGTTTAAAGCGTATACTGTGTGTATATCTATATAATATATAGTTTTTTTGTCCGGGTTAAAAAAATTCCCCTGGAACCTAACCCCCTCCTCCCCCCCATTTACATTAATTCTTATGGGGAAATTGGATTCGCTTAATAGCGTTTCGCTTAAAGTCGCATTTTTCAGGAACATAACTACAGCGTTAAGCGAGGAGTTACTGTATATGCATCCGTGGGGGAAAAACCAAACCACATCTGATGTGCACTATTTAATGTCAAGCAATTTTGCAGATTGAACTCTACAACTAATTGCAAAAAGCTGTTGTGTGTCTTCAGGCACTATATGACCTGGAAATGGGAATGAATGCAGGGAAAACTTAAGTCACATTTTCCCATCCGCCATAATGTCCGCAACTAAATTGACTGTTCTTCACAAAGCAGTATGTTAGCATAGTCATTGTAGTGAATCTTAGAGGAGCAATCCTTCCCCATGTAAAATTTTAAGCCATGCTTCCGCACAAATCCACATTACCCCTAAGATCTTTTCAGATAGTTTCTTGCCTCTATTACTAACTTTCAGATTTATTTCAAAGGAAGGTTTTCTCCTCCTCCCTTGATCCTTCAGTGAGATCATATTGCTGCTCTTGGTGAGACAGCTATCGCTTCTATAGCAATGTGCTCATGCCCTAGTCTCAGTATTTATTTATAATTACATTATAAGATCAGGAGAAGCCACAGCTGGGGTTGTGAGGATGGGATTTGGAGCAGTTTCACTGATACCTTCAGCATTGGCAGGTGGTAGAAGACAATGTTGCTCAGTGAAATATCTGGGCTCAAGGCAGATGGGCTCATTTGATGCTGCTTTTTCCCCCTTCTAGTGAAAGACTATCTGCCTTCACCAAAATTAACCCACAAGAGAGCATTCAGTGATGAGATCTCCCAGGTTAACGTGGTAGCAGAGCCGAAAGCAATCCAAAGCCTGAAGCCAAAGAATGACCCTGTCTCCAGATCCTCTCTCTGTGTCAATGGAAGCCATGTTTACAGTGATGAACCTGCACCAAAGAGCCCGATGTCTGGCCTACCGAGCTCCTCACCGCTGTCCCTGCCTCTACAGAATATCGCCAGAAAGTCCGAGGAGGGTTTCCATGCTGGCTTCCCTCCTCCTGACTCTGAAGACCTGCCATGGGGAGCCAGCAGCTTTGAGAAGGGGCAGCAGAAAGAAGAGCCCAGATTCCTTCCCTCTCCTCCCAGCTTAGCAGTACAAGAGGAGAACAAGGTCTCAACCAAAGCGGTAACCCTCAGCAACCACCTAGGCAGAGCCAAGTTGGAAGAAGGCAGCCGCTTAGAGATCAAACCCGTGCAGATCGCAACACCGCTGGTCTTCTCCATGGAGGTGACGAAAGACAAACCCCTTGAGGAAACCAGAAAGGAAGACAAGAAGTCCAAGATCAGCCTCTTCCACCACGGGGGGACCAAAAGTGATGCAGGGAACAAGAGCTTGGGAGAGAAGCTGGGATCATCCCTGACCGTATCTCCACAAGTAACAGCTGCTGGAGACGAGAAGAGTAAGAGCAGCAGCTGGTTTGGATCCAAGGACACCAAAGAACCTTCTCAGAAACCCAGGTCAGTAAAACCAGGTTTATGGACTATGCTGAACCGCTCCCTACATTCACACTTCAGAGGCCACTGTAGATCTTTAACCAAGCTGCCCCAAGATACAATCTAAAAAG